ATACAGGTTTGGAATGACATGATGCTGAGCAGCCTAAATGAATACAGCTTTAATTTTTGGGTGAACTATCCCTTTAAGAACTTTGTAATATTTGTAAATGGAAAACACCTCATTTATAAGTGTCTCTAAATTACAGAGACACGGATTTTTATCTTTAATCAGGCTCTTACTGAATTAACATTTTACTTAAATTTAAATTAATTAGAATGAAACATTTAAAGAGAAATAAGCTATTAAAGTTAGTTTACATTGCAGTTTGTTTACATTAATTTTACCTTTTACCTTTAATGTTGTCATATCACACAACTGTATAACACAATTCTGTGTCATTTCTGAATGGATCGAGCGATTTGCGCTGTTTATCTCTTATAAATTGTGGCGGAAGCGCAGCGCTGTACGGGAGACTGATCCTGCTCTGCTTTAACACGCGGCTGGCGGATGCACCGGGTAGCACCGCTTCATACTTTTGGAGTACTTGCTTTTTGCAGTTTCGCATGGGCTGTAATTTAAAAACAGCGCTTAATATAAGGTCTCCCTTGCTTCGGCGATCGGCCCACCAGGAATGTCCCGGTGCTCCCGATGGCTAGTAGCTACAACGTTGGGTATGTTCAAGTAAGCTAGATATGCCCAGATGCTGCTCAATTAGGCTTATTTAATATATCATGATGAGTCTCGAGTTCAGTATTTACACTAAATCTGCGCAGATTTGGCTTACATGAACTTCCTCAAGAAATTAATTAGTAAACATAATTTACGAAAAGTAATCTGCCAAATTGGCTAGTGATTTGACAGTGTTCCCCGCCACAGATGATTTTTACCCGCATTTGGCGGGTTGGCGGGTGTTAATTTCAAACCCAGTTTACAACTATGGTGAGGGTAAGCAGCAGCTTGCATCAGTTACAGAAATCAGATGTTGAGTTAAAATATAGCTGTTTCATTTGATTACTCATTTTTAAAATTTTTCTCACAGATCCATTTAAAAGCATTGCTACATGGATAATCATACCACCCTGATGGATAAGAGGCAATGCAGTTCTCTCCTCTTTGTCCATTGGGCTCTCCAGTCCCCCAAAAGCTGAAACTACAGATCAGCATTAGATGTTCAGTGCTGCTTTTGTATGATATGATATTGACTGTGATGATCATTTATTAGATAATAATCTGTTAAATTCAGTGTTTTCTCACCCAGAGGTCAATGTGATGCCATCAGCCCATTTCCATTGGCCCTCCACATCAATGTCAGTCAGACCAATCCAGACTCCAGCACCACCAGAAATCTTTTGAATGAACTCCTAGTAGAATAAACCAGACAGCAGTGTTTAACATCTGCAGTGCTGAGTAGACATAAATAAGGGTGTAACACAAACTTGTGTGCCCCATTCTATTATTCACTCACTTGTTCCTTTCTGCTGTTTATGATAGTCAAATCTGCTCCTCTCTCTGTACAGAATCTTCTGCTCTCATTCCAGCTCTTCCACTCCGGGGAAACAAAGTAAAAACTGGACTGATAGATCTGTCCATCTGTAAACACAACCAGATCAGCTACTAGAACTTTTTTGTGAAACACATTAGTTACATATCACTTTTCTTAAGGTCCTTACATCCTGCAACAGCAAAAGAAATCCACAAAAACATGCTGCTCATTAAACGCGCGCACACAGAAATACACGCACACAGAAATTTGTTATTAGCAATTCCCTGCTGCTTTATCAAATAAATAGTTTCACAACTGAAAAGCTTATCTTAGTATTGAAGTAACGTCACTGTTCTTGAAGCAGGTAATTATACTTTCACTTTAGTAGAGACACTGCTGCTGAACACTGTTCAGAGCCAAAACTCATGCCATGAATCTATCAATCAATTAGTCAGTTAGCCAATCAGTCAATCAATCAATCAATCAAACAAACAATCAATCAGTCAATCAATTAGTCAAATTAGCCATTAGCCAATCAATCATTAAATCATTCATTCATTCATTCATTCAATCAGTCAATCAACAGAATAATTGATGACAGGCCAATTCATTATTAGAAAAAAAAATGCAAACCTGAGCTGGTAATCCATATATCTTATGCATCATCCCAAGCATCCATTGTTGTCAGTTATTCCAAGGCAGGGGTCTAAAATTATGTCTGTTGTCAGGAATAGCCATTATAGGTGGCAGTGCCTTTCCACATGCTTATATACTGTATAATTTTTAAAGGGCATTGTTGTGGTCACCATGTGGTTTCGATGTAGCTGCCGAGTTCAAATTAGTTTAATTATACATGAGAAAGGAGTCACCTTACTTAATCGAGTGAATTTAAACTAGATCAGAAAATATAACTTAATTTTGCTGGGATATCTTTGTTTTTAAGTTGTTCGATTGTTTATTGGCTTTTCTGGTTTATTAGATTCTATTTTAGGACAAGTTATTGAGAACAGCAGAACGAAACTGATCTGAGGACAGTGTGTGAAGCCAAGTCACATGACTTGCAACTCTCAACAAGGCCAAAAGAAACGTTTTGAACTTTCTTAACGTAACTCTGCTAAGTGACTTCTTTCTATGTGACTTTTAATGGTTCTTTTTGTGTCCTTTTTCAGGCTTGAATCTCTGCTCACCATATTTTGAAATCAGAAGCTAACAGCACTATGCTGGTAAAGTCGGTGTTGAAAATAATGTTTACGGTCTGTGGTTTCTCTGGTCTTTCTGATTTGAACAAATACCTTTTAGCCAAAGAAACACAATACATGTACTCTAGGAACAGAGCAACTGATGGCATCTGAGCTTCAGGATGGACTGCAGAGTCTAGAACTGTTTGTGTCTTCAGAACAGATGTGAAAGAAGAGACACTATTGGAGCAATGAACTCTTGAGTTTGCAGCGTCTCATCACACACTGCTCTTGTTCTGAAGAACTGTGGCATTGGTTTATGACCAACTTCCTGATTATGACAGACATGGTGGTAAATGAGCTTTTGTGCTGTTGTTCTTCCTCATATTAGTTCAGCTTAGACAGAGCAAATGTAAGAGGAGGAATCAGGTTAGAGATTCTCCAGAAAAAACATGTTTGATTGGTTATTGTCTTAAAAGTCCTATAGCCTACTAGCATGAGAGGCACACAACAAACTTACTGTAGCTGCTCTGGAGCTTCACTTACTCTGTTACTGCATGTATTTAATCATGTCAAATCTCTCTAAAGCAGGTCACAGTGTGTTTTTTGTTTTTTGTTTGTTGTGTTGTTTTGTTTTGTTCAACAGATCAAATCCTCTACAAATGTGTATTTGATTCTTAAGAAACACTTGAAACACTAACTGGATTTATACTGTAAGACTGACATTGACCAGTGTGGGGCGACACATAAATTTATTTTATTTTTTTATTTTTTTATAGCCCATGTCACTTGCATTACAAGTGTCTCACTTACTGTATTTATTTATTTTTTAGGGACACGTAGGAATTATTATATTATGCCACTACACCCTGCCACATTTTATTTATTTCTTTATTTTTATTTATAAGCAAAAAGACTGAATAAATTGTACCAAACAATGATATGACGCGATCAAATGGCAACCAGCGAAGAGTGAGAGGTGCGCACTCTTTAATGCAGCACACGTCAGCAGTGTGGAAGCATTTAAAACTGTCCGAGAAAGACGCAAAAATCATTACAAGCACCGACAGCAAGAGATTGTTTAGTACTGCATCGCATGTCTTCGATGAAAAGAGAAAGGGTTGATTGTTGCTGGTTTACTGTATGATGATTGAAATCGCGAAATGGCCTTAAACAATTAGTAAATAAACTGCAAAACGTTATGTTTTCTAATACACGCACGCATTGCATTTATTCTGACAGCGCTGCACGAGCTCGCGGCGCTATCTGTTTGTTAACCAGGGTTCAGTTACTCAGTCACATTTTTATGAATTTTTACAAGGCGTGTGACAATGCGATACGTACGACGTATTCGTAATGAGACTTATTTATAAATCTGTTGTTGTCAACAAAAAGGAAGCATTGAAGTCTTCCTGCGCGTTTCCGCCAAAATAAACATTGGGAAAAAGCAAGAACTCTATCAACATTCATAAATGTTAGTATTGTAATTTTACTGTTGTTCTGTAAAATAAAATAAAAAGTAAGACAATAATAATGATAATAATCATTAAAACAGCTCTGTTAATACATTTATTATAACAATCACACATATAGTGTTCAAATTAAGATCTGTAATATTTGCTAATGTTTTAAAAAAAAGTCTCTTCTCAGCAAGGCTGCTTTTAATTGTACAATAAAAAATACATGCCTAATTCAAGAAGGGGGTCTGATGGCCAAAAAATATTATTTTACTTACATTAATTTTAAGCTAAATTGTGCTTTGTTTGTATGTCTGCTAGAAAGTAAAAAATGTTCAGTGTTAAATATTCTTAAATTGTTGTTTTGTAATAGATTTTTTTTTCTTTGAAAAGCAAGACAAAACAGTAAAAATGACGGGGAAAAAAACCCATGAAAAACCGTATTCAGTTTTCGGTATTCGGCCCAGTGTTTCATTTTGTTTGGTTTCGGCTTTGGCCGAGAATTTTCATTTCGGTGCATCCCTAGTTGAAATATTGGTAACACTTTATATGAAGCCCTTATTTACAGAATAATGGACTGTATCGTATCTTGACATTGTTTATTTAAGATCTGCACAGTATCTTACTACAGCTTGTGAGTGGTTAGATGTTGAGTGTTTCCTGTGGAGCTAATGTTAATTAATTGATGTGAGCTTTATACTCCAACTGAAAAAAATGCAATGTTTTATATGGTTACATTTTATTTTGATGGTCCCCTTAATCAATCGACTATAAGCAACTTTGCAACTACATGCCAACTAACTCTCATTAGAGTATTAGTATGCTCAAGAATGGTAGAATCTAGTTTGGTAGAATAAGTTGACGTACTTGCAAAGACACTTATAGTCAGTTTATCTGTTGGTTGACCATCAAAATAAAGTGTTAGCAAATATTTACAGTAGCAGACATACTAATACTCTGATGACCGCTAGTTGATATGTAGTTGCAGAGTCACCTATCAACAGCTGTTTAAAGGGTACCATCAAAATAATCAAACTGATATTATAATAAAAATAGTTCAAAGCAAATGTGTCATATTACACATTCATCTGATCAGATTTTATGGCTGTTTGAGATACATTTTTATTATTATTATTATTACTACTTATAAGTGGTCTTTGACCGCTTTAAGTAAAGTAGCATAAGAAAAATGGCAAGATATGAGACTTATAATACATTATAACTATGAGAAATATAATCCATTGTAAAAGTGGATGCAACGTGTTCATTGTGTTATAAATCATCATACTCTTAAAATCTATAACCACAAATAAGTAAATATTATAATATATTAAAACTTTTCTTATGAATATTCATGAGATGATACAACATATTATAAGGTTTTTTATAATGCATTATGCATTCATTATAATGCCTTA